CCGACGCGCCTGTACTACCTCGTGGGCGGCGGCATCGGCGCCGGGAGCAACACCAAGATGGTCCACCAGGTCCTCGCGGCCAACCAGATCCTGTCGGGGCCCGAGGCCATGGGCCTGGCCGTGCGCCTCGGCCTTCCCGCCAACACGGCCACGCTCGAGGCGCTGCTCCAGTCGCCCGGCCGCAGCTGGATGTTTGGCCACCGCGGGCCGCGCATGGTCGACGGCTTCCAGCCGCTGGCGAGTGCCGTCAACATCATCGTCAAGGACACCGCCATCATCACGAGCGAAGCGCGCCGCGCGGCGTTCCCGACGCACATGACCAGCGTCGTCGAAAACGTCTTGTACACGGCCGTGAACCGGGGGTTCGGCGGCAAGGACGACTCGCAGCTGCTGGAGCTGTACACGGATGGCGTGCCGCCGCCGACGGCAAACGCAGCGTCACCCGACGCCTCCCTGCGGCTCGTCACCAATCTGCTCAAGGGCATCCACCTCGTGTCGGCCGCCGAGTCGCTGGCGTTTGCGCACCACGTCGGCCTCGACCTCGACCTGGTGCTGGACCTGTGCATCAATGCCGCGGGCGGCAGCGCCATGCTCGAGACCCACGGCCCGGGCATTGTGGCCGTGCTGCGCAACGAGCCGGCACCGCCACCCAAGGGCGACGCATCGGCGGCCACCGAGTCTCTCGGCGACATTTACAACAATCTGGCCAAGGCCGTCGACGCCGCGCAGGCGATCAAGGCGCCCATCCACCTGGGAACGCAGGCACTCAACCTTCTGCGCCTGGCGCTGCGCAAGTCAGGCTCCGAGAGCGTGCCAGCCGCTGCCGCCGTGAACGTGTGGTTACGATAGGTGGAAGCTGAGATTTAATTCAATTCCTTTTCTTTTCTTGGTTTACAGTTGTCTCAGTGGCACGGCTATGTATACAAAAGAGATAATGTGACAGCAAAACTTTAAAAGCAGAATAGAGAGTATGACGAGAGTGTGACAATTAAACGCGAAAAAGGAAACAAAATGCTATTCTGCTATGCGCCCCGACTCATGCTCACCTACCACAGCTCGCACGTCGGCTCCTTCACCGGGCACTGGAATGCCTCGCGGAACCCGCGCGAGTTGAGCAGCGTGCCCTTGATCCGGATCGGGTCTGGCGAGTGCTCGTCCGTCGTCACACGGTTCGTCAGCATCGCCGGCCGGAACTTGGAGCACCACGCGTTGCCGTACGAAATGTAAAACAGCTGCTCGTGCGTAAAGGCGTCCAGCCCGGGCAGCGACAGGCTGTCCACGCCGCTCGTGGCCGTGCCGTCTCGCTTGGCGGCCGCCCGCCGCATGTCCCACGCGAGGCGCGCCGCGGTCAGGCCGCCCGAGTCCGCAATGTTCTCGCCCAGCGTCTGGCGGCCCTTGATGTGGATGGGGCCGTCCTTGCCAATCACCGTAAAGTTGTTGAACTCGTCCACGATGCACTGCGCCTTGTCCGTAAACGCGTCAATCGTCGCGTTCGTCCACCAGTTGTTGTAGCGGCCGTGCAGGTCGTAGTGCCGCCCGTTGTTGTCAAACGCGTGCGACAGCTCGTGGCCCGCCACCGCGCCAAACGCGCCGTAGCTCACGTAGCTCGGCAGGTCGACGCTGAACAGCGGAAACTGCATGATGCCCGCGGGGAACACAATCTCGTTGTGCGGCGGGTTGTAGTACGCATTGACCGTCGACGCAAGCATGCCCCACTCGTTCATGTCCGTCGGTTTGCCCAGCGTCGCCCACATGCGCTTGTTGTCAAAGTCGTCCGACGATAGGATGTTGCCAAAGAACGAGTCGCCAATCTGCACCGCCTCGTAGTACGTCTTGAGGTCCTCGGGGTCCATGATGTTGGGCGACGCCGCCGGGTAGCCGACCTTTTGGTCGATGTTGTGCACCTTCTCCGCCGCCACTTTGCGCGTCTCGTCGTCCATCCATGCAAGGCTGTTAAAGTTCTGGAGGTACGCCGCCTTGATGTCCGAGATGATGCGGTTGCCAAAGTCCTTGGCCGCGGCCGAGAACGACGCCTCCACGAAGAAGCGGCTCAGGATCCAGCCCAGCGTTCCGCCGGCATGGCCGACGCAAATCCGCCAGCGCTCGGGGTCGGCGTCGGCGTCCTTTCCCTGCAGGATGTTCTGGAACTGCCGCCACGGCCGTATCTCAGGGCCCAACACTGCGCTGCTGTAGTACACAATCAGGCGCCAGTACAAGAAGTTCTGCACGACCTCTGCCGGCGTCTCGGCCACAATCTGCGACACGTTGGCCAGCACCTCGGGGAACGCCGTGACCGTCATGTTCAGGGCGTAGTCAGTCGGCACGAGCTCTTTCAAGGCCTTTTCGAAGCCAAAGTGCGGAAGCAGCTTCGATGTGTCCTTGACCGACAGGAGGTTGTAGGTTTTCTAGAGAAACGTTAGAAACGATGCATCATCCATGACTGCGGGAAACAAAATGCAGTCCTCCCACGTACCGTCACATCGTCCATGTCCTCCTTGTCGGGGGCAGCCAGCGACAGGCGCGACTCAAACTCCACGAGGGCCTTGGCCGCCTTGTCTGCAGGGCCAATCTTGGCCACGCTCGGCTTGATAGCGCCCAGCACTTTCGTCATGGCGCTCAGGTACTGGTCCACGACATCCTTGTCCTCAAAGTACTGCTTCGAGGGCAGTCCGAACGAGCGTACGGGGCTCACGCCAATGATCTGCGTCTCTGGATCCTTGTCGTCGTCGCTAACGTAGAAGCTGAAGAACGAGTTGATGCCACGCTTCTTGAGGAAGAGAACCGAGTCGCTGTAGTCGACGGGGGAGGTAGACGAGCTGCCAAACGTCTTGGCCAGCTCATCGATGAGGGCGACAATGGGCTGGATGCCCTGCTTCGTGATGGCGTCCACATCCATGCACGCGTCGTATGCCGCCTTGAGCTCTTCGAAATTCTTGCGGTCGGTCGAGCTCACAGCAGCATTGAGGTTGCTGGGCGAGAAGGTCGAGTGGCTGGAGTTGTCGGGGTACCTGCCCTCCAGAATGTTGCGGATGGTGGACGTCACGCCGTCGTTGATGAGGCCCAGAGCGTCCGTCATGCCCTGGTCGGCCCGCATGTCGTGAGCGCCACGCCAGCCACCACAGACAAACTCCTCAAAGTCGTCGCACGGGTCCATGTTCTTATAGTTGGGCGACAAGTTGGTCAGATAGCCGTCGGCGGCGTGGATGCAAGCCGGGGTGAGGCAAAGGCCCGTGGCCGCGCCTTTGTCGTGGCGTCGAGGCAGAATCGTCGCCACCAGAACAAGGGCGATAATGAGGATGACGATCGCGATCCGCTGGATACCAAGCGCCGTCCAGGTAGATGTCACTGACCTGTAGCCCCGACGGAAGCTGCCCTCCTCGACATCACCACTGGCAGTGTGGGCGTCGGGCGGGTTGTCCAGAAGCGGCGAGCTCTCGGACGGGCCGTTGTTGGCAGCCGGAGACGCCATGATGCAGTGTTGTCGAATTGGCGTCTTCCCAGAGGAAATTGGCCTATGACCGACGAAGTCAACCCAACTGTAGCTTCAGGGAGACGGCGGCCAGCAGCACCTGTGCAAGCAGTGATGCAAAGACAGGTCGATAGGTCGATAGTCGTGTATGGTGGTTTGACGCAAATCGCCGATGCAGAGCGTCGTAGACGATGGGGAGGGTTGAGAAGGAGAGAGAGGGGAGAAGAGAGTCACGGCAAATAGCCAGGCCGTGCGGAGGCGTCATCAGCTCAGCGACGATGGATTACAGTGCAATACGACATTGTAAACAAGCTTACCCCAGGCGGCAGGTGCCTGCGCTTAGGCAGGACTGTCGATCGCTGATTGGCGGCCGTGGCAGCTATGAGCTACTGTCCGCAGCAGCACTGATTTGTGGGGCCAGGCGGATTTGATGCGGTCCATTTTGGTCACGTGTAGCGTTCTCAAACAGGTAGCATCATCGAGAGAAAAGCGTATCCAGGGCGAGCTCCTGTTCTCACTGAGCTTTTTTAAGGCGACGAGAGATGTACGGGAAGTTCTTCACAAAGCATATCACGAGGCTACGACACCTCTGTGTGGGCCTAAAGAGAAAGTGGCAGCTCCAAAGGCTCCTCAGAAGGACAGCCAAAGTGACTCAGTCTGACGTGAAAGCGCTTAATTGGGTCACAGAGATATATACAGCAAACAAATGGCATCTGGGGATCGTCAATCAATAACGAAAGCCGCTTGAAGCGGAAACTGGATGCTTCTCGTCATGCAAACCGAGGGTCGTGATCACGATACTGAGGCCATCCAGGTTCTTGTACCTGAAAGCGCTGTGGCCCGATAAGGCAGATAAGGTGATAGCGTGCATCTGCATCGCCGACTGGGGCAGCCAATCAGGCGCCCAGCGTAACTCAGCCGTGGCCACAGGGCTCCACCCAAGCCACGACACTTACCCACTCTCACTGCAGGCGGCCACACCTGAACCTATGACCGTTTCAGGTGACCTGCGCTGGCTAGGCGGGGCGAGACCGTCTTACTGTATCGTGCACCCGAAATGGAGAATGCCGTAGTGAATGTGCCTCGTTCTTTCCAAACCGCTCTGTTGTGTCCCGTGTCGCTCTTTCCCTCTCTCTCTCCTCCTCTCTCTCTCTCTCTCTCCTCTCCTTCTCAGCATCACCAACTTTCTCCCTCAACCACATCTGCAACGAGGGAACACGATCTGTACCCAATTTGCTCAACACCGCCTGATTCCCTTGCCTTCGCATTTGCAGCGCGGCACGAGAGCGACAAAGTAGCGACCAACGCCAACGCGAAAGCGGCCAAGACACCCTCCCTTGCCGTCCAACAGGGCACCCAGCGACAATACGTTGCCCAATTTGGCTCTATTCGGGTCCTGTCTTTGTATTCTCCCTGAATTACAGAGGCCCGTCTCTTTTTCGTCTTATCCTGACCTGTTACTTTCTCTTCCTCTCGTCTCGCCTTCTCGCCAGGTCCTCCTCTGCTTGTCGCACCACCTACTCCACCGACCATGGCTTCCCGATATCTCATCCCCGTCCTTGTGGCAATGATGCTGCTCACGGGCGTCTGCAATACACTGTTGACAAAGTACCAGGTATGTCGGCCAGGACGATGTCCAGGCGAGACTTACCCGCCCCCCGTCCCCTTCACCCTCGGGACGCCCGGCTAACTGATTCAACAGGACAACCAGTGTGTCCGCAACTGCGATGACCCGGATCCGAAGAAGCGCGCCTACTTTGAGCAACCCGTGCTCCAGACGGCACAGATGTTTGTGGGCGAGATGGGCTGCTGGCTCGTTGTCGGGCTCATGTCCCTGTACAAGCGCTACCAGGAGCGGAGGAACGGTGGCTCGGCCACGACCGCTGCCGAGGGCGGCTACCAGGCCGTGGCGGCCGACGATACGGGTGCTGGCGATGACGCGAGCATCCACTCCACAACGGCCCTCAACGGCAATGGGAACGGCAAGTTCTTGGCGACCCACGAGAACTCGGTTCTGCGCGGCTGCGGCATCCTGCTGCTGGCCCTGCCGTCCATCTGCGACATCCTCGGCACCACGCTCATGAACGCGGGGCTGCTCTTGGTGGCCGCTTCCATCTACCAAATGACCCGTGGCGCCCTCGTCTTGTTTGTCGGCCTGTTCAGTGTCATCTTTTTGCACCGCCACCTGCACGTCTTCCAGTGGCTGTCCCTGCTTGGCGTCGTCTTGGGTGTGGCTGTCGTTGGCCTCGCAGGCGCCATCTCGCCGGATACCACGACGGCTGGCTCCGACGATGCCGCCATGGTCTCCGCAACCGCCCTGGCCGACGTCGGCACGGACGCCCTGCGTGTGATCATTGGTGTGCTGCTCATTGCGGGCGCCCAGATCTTCACGGCGACCCAGTTTGTCCTCGAGGAGTGGATCCTCGAGCGCTCGACCATTGAGCCCATCCGCGTCGTCGGCTGGGAGGGCGTCTTCGGCTTCGGCGTCACCCTGCTCGGCATGGTCGTGCTGCACGTTACCATTGGCCGCACCGAGGCCGGCCAGTACGGCTACTTTGACATGGTCGAGGGCTGGCGCCAGATGACGTCGGACCCGCGCATCCTGGTCACGAGCGTCCTGATCATGTTCAGCATCGGCGGCTTCAACTTTTTCGGCCTGTCGGTGACGCGCAACGTCAGCGCCACGTCGCGGTCCACCATCGACACCTGCCGGACGCTCTTCATCTGGCTCGTGTCCCTGGGCCTGGGCTGGGAGACATTCAAGTGGCTGCAGGTCGTCGGCTTCATCATGCTGGTGTACTTCACCTTTGTCTTCAACGGCATCGTCAAGCCGCCGCTGAAGGTTCTGCAGCCGCCGCGCGTCGAGGAGCTGCTGCCGGAAGAGCCTGTCGAGCACATGTAATCCACCCATGGCTCTCTCTGCTACTTCTACCGCATTGTGGAATCCTTTCGCCATCGCTTTCTTACTCCTTTTGGTTATTGCGGCGTTGATCTATAGTATTGAGGAATGGTTGTTATTTTACGTTGAAGCGTGTCATCTATGCACTTTAGGCGTTCTCTGGGATCTTCTTTCGATTTATCAATGTTACCAAAGGTTTTGTTTTAGTCTTGAACTTTCGTGATGGAGACTTGCGGTGCATGTTCTTTTGGTTATAGTTGGCCTTCGCTTTTCCAAAAGAAAAACTAAAACCAATTTCATAATACCGGAAATGCGTAAAAATCATCCTAAACTACAAAACATCTTGTTTAAATCATAATCGTAAGATCAAAACTCGTGCCATGGACGTGCTTCCACACGATCACTGCCCAGAATGTCCACCCGGATACCCACATTCGGCAGCCGCCGCCCATTGCGTATCTCAACCACCACACGGAACCATGGTGTCGTCAGGTCTCGACCCTGGTACGGCGAGGCTCGACTGAGATTGACCTCTCCTGTTCGCAGGCCAGAGACCGGCATGTCCTGGAACTCGCCGCCGCCTGTCGCTACAATCACATCGCCGCTGCGTCGGCCGCTTCCCGTGGCCATGCGCTCGATCGAGACACGCACAGCGGTCGTGCTCGCAGCAGCAGCAGCGGCAGCCGTGGCCGTGTAGACGGCGTGTGCACGCCGTTCAACGGCCTGGACGACAAGACGCACGCGCGTATTGAGGCGCGTGTCGAGTACGGCCTGGCATCGCAACTCGCCCTCATCTCCATCCCCAAGGCCGTGGTGGCCTCCGCCAGAGGTGCCGTCAAATGTCAGCATCAGCGGCTCAAGCGACGTCCGCAGCTTGCCCGAGTCCTCTGCTGGGATCGGTCGCAGCTCGATGGGCACAGCCGAGCCGACCCGTAGCGTGTATCGAGACAGTTGGGCGTGCTCGAACGTTGACACCACTACGGTGTACGTGCCGGCTTCGACGAGGCCGGACCCAAAACCTGCGCTCCCGCTTCCGTTGCCACTGCTTACGCTGCCGGACATTTGCGAAAGAGGAGACGATGCTGCCAGCCCAGACGCAGCAGAATAGGATGCCGTCCGTGGCGCTACGGCTGCCATGGCACATCCCCGCTGGTATTCGCCGGACGACACGACGAGATCGCGCACGGCCAGCGACGCTACCCGTTCGCCTCGGGCCCATACTAGATCAACGCGGACAGGGACATCGTCGGCCTCAGCACACAGGAGCAAACTGAGAGGAGTAGCCTTTGGTATGGTAAGTGCGTATTGTGGGTTTTGGATAAAGTCTGGCGACGCTGCACTGCCGCCAGCCGTCGCCCTCGACCACTCGTCGGATACTTCGTACTGGTTGGCGAGCATCTCGACCGCCGGCTCAATCTTCAGCGATGCGGAAGAGAAAAATGACAGAGTGAATGAGTAGCTAGGGAGTGGCAGGCCGGATTGGGCCACAACGATCGTGTAAGGAAGCGACTTGCGCGCCTCGAAGCACACCAATGTCTGCGGGGAGTCTACCAATGGCGCACGGTTGATCCACCGGGGACGGTCCGCCAGCTGGACTCTCTTGCCATCGGCAGAGTACACATATAGCGAAATAAACCCGACCTGGCTGGACGACGTTGGGCCGGGTTCAGAAGTAGGGGGAGCGCCCGATGGCGCGCTTCCTCGATTGCCCAAAAACGCGGACACGGATCGTTTTTTCCTGCGGACGATATCGAGTTCGGCGTCCTGGAAGTGGCGGTTCAGCAAAATCCAAACGGTACCGTCGGCGTCTGGCGCCATAGCGTATTGGGGATTGGATGCAAACGAGTGGGCCATTGCCTTGGTGGGAAGGGTCCAGCTGAAATGGTGATCCTGGCGGTGGTTGAACAAGGACGGGTTCCAATTCAAGTAAAGAGACTCATAGTACTGAATGACGTCTTCGAAGCCTATCCAAAAGGTTCCCGTCGTTGATGGACTGGTTGCGGAAGAAACAGATACCAGACCCCTTCCACGCCAGACAAGATTGTCACACCAGGGATTCTTGACCAGCATCCGGCGAACGCCGTCAGTATCAACGTCCAGGCCAAGGACAGCATAGTCATGCTCTCCGGCCAAGCCAAGCAGTGTTTCCTCTTCCGAGGAGAGCCGGCCTGTGCCAAGGGTGACCATGACGTCGCCGCGTGCAAATGCGTCTTTAACACGCGTCCAGACTTGGTCCAGATCTGATTCGTTGCTCTGAATAAAGACTTGCTCCGGGATCCACCCGGTGAGAACCCAAAGGTCGGTGCCGGAGTTGCTTCCAGGAAAATCATAGCCTCCGTGCACCTTGAGATACGCCTTTTCGAGGAAAGCAGGCCACAACAGTAGTGGGTTTCGGCGGTCGACGACAAACAGGGCACGTGAATCCGACGACGGCAGCCTATCGTCAACAACGACCTTGCGAAAAGCTCCGTTGAAATGCATTCGGAATATGTATTTGCCGTTCTCGGAGACTAGTGGCTGGCCGTTGTCGTGGTCGAACGGGCTCATTATTGATGCAAGTAGTGCAGACGGGCCGCCATGGTCGTCAGCATACTTTGTCATGGCACATAGACTCGCGACGACTGAGCAGTCGGTCGTGATGTCCTGTACGAGGTCAGGCTCATCTTTGGCGAGCATAAATCGATCTGTTAGTAGTGTGTCGTCTGCTTTGCCGTCCGCCGCTGCAGGCTCCGAAAATAGCTCGACAGGTCGCTTCCAGCCGGTGAATATCTCGTTTTGCTGAGATGACATAGAGAAGGTAGTGTTGTCCCTGGCAGTATCAGAAGAATGTTAGTTGGCAGCTACACGCTGTCACTGCTGTTCATACCAAACACTTACTCGTAGAGAACGTCGGCAGGCGATGCCAACTTGAAGGTGTCGTTGCTGGGTGTCCCATCCCATGGAGGGAAGACGGACCCATGGAGCTTGGATGCCCTCAAGAGAACAATCTTTTCTCGTTTTGGAAGGTCTCTGGTCGAAATAGGCGCAGTTCGGCCGGAGGCATACATACTGCGGCCTGGAACCAGATTTCCGGTTGTCTTCGCAGTGGTGTCGATGCTTGACGAAACCTGTGCCGGCGTTTGTGGCTGCGGCCCCGGCGGGGACGTAGGATTCGGTTTTTCCGGCTTGGACTCCAACGACAAAGAAGACAAGGCGGCTTCCACTGGAGCTGCTTGCGCGGTCTTTAGGCTTTCGCCATAGGCCATTAACTCTCGGCATTTCTTCTTGAGTCGTGTCCGTTCGGCCGGAGTGGAAGCCTCCTGGACGGCCTTCATATACAGCTCGACGGCCGCAATAACGTGTAAGACCGCGTCCTTGCCCGACGACTGGCTGATCAGAGCCTCCTCTTCCTGTGCTTTTGCCTCCATTGGTGGACTGCTTCAATGTAGTGGCAGAGGTCCAGTTGTGCAGGCGATACAATCAGAGGGTCACTTGTCTTGCACGGCCAAGCATGACGGCCACGCATCAACACAATAGAAACATTGGCCCTGGCGGGGTGAGCGGTAAGGCTGTGTCGAGTGTCGTGACAGTGCTAAGAATGGCCCAATTGGCAACACAGTATCTCAATCTCATTGGACATGTGCGACAACCGTCCCGTGGCTGAGCGAGCGCAAGAACCGTCTGGGCTGCATTAGCTTAAGGCTGGCCATTGCATGGGGGAGCGGCATGTTGAAGATGAGGGGCTTGGAAGAAGCGACAGTTTGGGGACTGGAGAGGTGTTGGGATGAAAGGAAACATCACGAGAAGCTACTTGGGCTTCATCAACGATCCTTCCCAATTGGGATGCTTACACAAAGGGCCTGATAGAGGACGAGATTGGCAGTAGCCGGTAAACGCACCTTCCTGCAATGCTCCGTTCACAAAACAAGGAAGCAGGCGTCAACGCCACGAGGCCCCAGGCAGGAGCGATGTCCACAGTGACGGAATTAGCCAGTATTACTTCGGCAAGAACCAGCTGTGTGCTTTTCCCCGACTGCTTCGCGGCCTCTCCAAACGTACTCCAAAGAGCGATAGCGCTCCACTTTACTGTCAAAAAGCTCGGCATTTGTGGACACATTGGGTCGCAGGCTCCGGAATAGGGCGTCCTCCTGTTGGCTGGCCGGACCGCTCAGCACCCCAAAACACAAGGCTCAGGGCTTCAGTGGTGGACGATGCTCTGAAGCGTTGCCGAAATGCGCTAGCCTCCAGACTTCCTCGTGCACCACCCCAGGTGCCTTTTTGCTGTGCGGAGTTTTAGCACCATTTCCCCTACGCAACACACGCCTACTCTGGATGGCGGCGCCACTCAGTCCCACATGTTGAGATATGGCCGAGGTTTGGCGGCAGACAATGGAGACTTCGGGCCAGTGCCTCCAGATGCCAGCCAGCCCGCCCACCTCTGAGTGGCTGTTTCTCCTGCAGATTCCGTTTGGCGCCCCGTTGCCGGCTCTTTCCTATTGTATCATCCTTTTCTTATTGCCAGTCCTTTCTTTTTGTCCTTTTTCGTCCGGTTCGCTTGGTGACTCTCGTCGATTGAGTATTCGTAGAATCCGACATCGTTCTGGTTCGCGATCGTCTGTGTTCCTGTGCTCCTCGATTGTTCTCCATGCTCGTCCGGAAGCTGTGCCGCTTACAATAGCCCAAGCGCATATCGGCAAATCGCATCCAGCAGCCACAAGCTATCTCGCTTTCTCACCTGTGTCGCTTGTCTTGCCTGCGTCCCTGACGACCTAGTTTTTCGTTTTTCCAGACGCTCCTACGCCAGTTCTGTTTCTCTTCTCCATCTTTTCTTTACCGTTTTCTTTTTCTCTTTTCCATCACATCACCACACGCAATGCCTGCGCAGTCAAAGCCTGTAATTGGCCCTTGGGGCAAGGCTACGGCCGGTGCCACCGGTGCTGTCCTGGCCAATGCTCTGGTGTACCCGCTGGACATGTAAGTTTCCCTCGGCTTCGACTTCATTGTCTGCGTCTTTTGCTGGGGTT